CGACAAGCTCTCTGTAGCGTGGCTCTTGAGTCTGTGTGAGTTGCAGTCACTGCAAGGTAGATGAATCCTTCAAATCTCCTGTCTAGTTCCTGGCTCCTTTTACTATTTCAGCTCTAGGCTTTTAACTCTGGGAAATCTTCAATGCAAATTGCTTACCTGTGAGCATATGGGCCCCAAAGATGAGTCAAATGTTAAACATAAACACCTTGTGAAGCTGTTAATACACCTCAGAAAAGCCACAGCTATCCACAAAGTGCATCATCCACCTGCTCTGGCTGATACTACTTAACAGAATAGTTTCTTTTCAATGCTTTTGTATATATCACTCATAATGCACACCATATTACCACTTCCTACCATAAAATTAATAACCTTGCACTCTTAAATTTCTTTTTGAAAGTTCTTGTTTGGTCTCTTCACCCTTTGGCCAGAGCTTTAATTTTATGTCATTAAGACATTATAGTTCAAAATGTTAAATGATGTCATTAGACAGCACATCAAGGTTTATGCCTGATGTTGATGGCGCTTTCAGAATGGTGTTGATGAAGCTTAAAACTAAGATGAATTCAGACTATTTTTGTCATCATCCTGTATGCCATTATTTTAATAACATACAGGCCTTTAAGTCATTACCATTAGTTCCTATAAATGAAAGAAAACTGTGTAATACTGTTCCCTCCTTTTGCTAATGGCATAAACATAATGGGAAAGTCTTTTTAGAAAAACCTTTTTCTTCTCCAAAAGGCAGTTTTTTAAATTAAAAAAGGTACAGATTGTTGTGTAAAATTTGCATAATTAGGAAACTACATTAAATAGACTATAAACCGAAGAAAGTCTGCCAAGCCTGAGTTATATTTCTTGGACATGAAACCTGCATAGTAGTTTACTCTCAAACCTATACAAATAAGAAATGAGTAAGCACTATTTTTATCACATAGTGAATAGGAAACTTTCTTTTATGGCAAAAATAGGGCTGTCTTCTGCCATGAATAATTTTAACGGTCAAATTCCTTACGAGCTTTGATTAACCTGTGTAAATATACAGAACTGTACTCATCAAAAGCATAGAGCGGGTGCTAAGCATGGTAAGTCCACAGAGAAGTACAGCTTGCCATTTTTCTGTCATCTTCTCACCTTTTTGCCATCCTGTTGTGTTTCATATACTTTTAACTGTTTCCTTGCCACCAGTGCTCAGAAGCAGCTGTGGTGCCAGGTACTTGCACAGCCACTGCACTCTCCTTAATAAGCCTGTGGGAGCTCATCTGCAAGGAAGCCTCCAGACAGAACAATTACCTCATTAAGAAAGCAGCTGCCCATCTATCTGGTCATTGCCTGGCCATTTCTTGTTCTGAAAGGTTTTTCCACATAAATGAACACTGTTGTGACTCTGCTACTTAATTTATTGTTTCTTTGTCTCCGCTGAACTACCACATAATGGTACCTACATGCATGGGGCAAAGCCCCAGCAGCAGGGCAAGAGCTGACAGGCCAAGCAGAGGTTCCTCTTGGGTATAGTGTTGGTTGGTACCCAAGTGCTTTCTACTGAAAAGCCATGATGGAGTCATGACTGTCCCATAATGGGATACCTTATCCCCTTATCACACACTAAGGGGATGTCTAGGCCTGTGATCAGAGGACAGGACAAGGGGTAATGGGTTCAAACTAAAACAAGGGAAGTTTAGGTTAGATATGAGAAAGAAGTTCTTTCCTGTGAGGGTGGTGAGGGACTGGAACAGGTTGCTCAGAGAAGTGGTAAATGCTCCATCCCTGGCAGTGTTCAAGGCCAGGTTGGACAGAGCCTTTGGTGACATGGTCTAGTGCTAGGTGTCCCTGCCCATGGCAGGGGGATCGGAACTAGATGATCTTAGGATCCTTTCCAACCCTAACTGTTGTGACTCTGTTGTGACTCTGTTGTGACTCTGTTGTGACTCAACAATTCTACAGTTCTATGATTCTATGACACCACCACCAGCAAAAGGAAGGAGTCAATGGGGTATGACCCAATGGGTAGCCCTGACCATTCAGCCACATTTTTGCCCCTTGGAAGACAGCAGCAGCACAGGGACTCCTCCTTGAGAAAGGGATGCTCCTTGACCGTACCTGCTAATCTAGAAGCAGGAGCCAGCACAAGCCCAGAGGTAGACCTCGTGTAGATGAGGAGGGGGAAAGAGGGATGGGGGACAGTGGAGGGGTGTTTAGTATGCAGGGCTACTTGTTATGAGGGCTTTGACTTCACATTGTAAAAGTAGCTTGGGAGGCAGAGGGTATTGCTTATAAGGTATTGCTTATATCCGTAGTCCTAACTTCTTGTCTATATGGGAGGTATGCTAGTGATATTTGCATATTTCAGTAGTTTCGTATCCTGACCATTTCCAAGAGACACATGGATACTCTGCATGTGGATTAATGCTGATGAGTAGTTCTCCGCCATCTCTTAACCTGAAAGTGGACAAGGTGATGTAGTTTACAGGGTGTCAAAGCCCTCATGCATGTGCAGTGCATGTCAGGGGTACAGACAGGAGGTTGTTTGGTGCCAACTCCAGGACAAGTGTTTGCCCTAATGTTCTACCAGATTCTTCAATATTATGGTGTAAGCAATCAACACCTGCTCTAACATAGACCACTGCCCCAAACTGGTCACCTAAGCATGCAGCCAGTGACAGGCAGGATTATAAAACTTGACTCAAAATCCTGGCCATATGAACCCCAAATCTTCCTCCTAAATGCCAATAAATAACTTCTAGCATGAGTACTACCTACACATCCCAGTGCCTGTTTCAGAGTGCAGCCTTTTTGGCAGAAACCTTTCTTGTACAGACATCAGAGACCACTGGAGGGAATTAAGTACTCATGCCTTGCTGTCTCAGTAGGACATTTGCTCACTAGGATTCAGGCAGGCTTTCCTGGCATCCAGAAGGCCAGAAGAAGGAGTGATCTCTGGCCAGCAAAGCGGAGAGCTGGTGCTCTGCTCGCAATGGTGTCTGCCATGTCCCCACCACTGATGGGGGTGATGGTGTCCACTCATGCTGCTGCTGTGTTCTGGGACTCCTCCAAGGCTGTAGTGGTGGCAGAAATATGCAGGTGGGGAAATGCTGGGGGGATCCCGAGGGATTTAGACTCGCCCTGTTGTTGCTTAGCAGAAGCTTTTTGTGATGTGAGGGAAAAGGATGTTCTTTTTAGAAGACAAGCTGCCTTTTTTGATTTTCATTTGAAGGACAGTTTAAAAAGTCATGAACAATAGGCTTATCTGAAGGGCGAAGTTTTTGCTGAGTTCTGGTTTGCTTTGAAGCTAGTGGTGTGGTACGTTTCTGTGTTTAATCCAAGGAAAATTAGCTGCTGAATGATTTTGTCTGACATGCTGAGGACCAAATGTTCTGGCAGGAGCTTGTGCCAGCGATGTGAGAGGTGATGAGTCTCCAGAAGCTGTTTTTTGCTCGTAAGGTGCCAGAACAGATGAGGTTCTTTGATGCAAGTAGTTGTTGGGTTCATGATCTCTGTATGGTATAGACAAATCAGACACACGCTGAGGCCAAAAGCATTTTTGGCATAGATGTGAATGCCCTTCTGATAAGTATTTTAATTTTCAAATGCAGATGAATATTATCCTTATAGAAAATGGCCATAGGGACAATCCTTGAAACCTATGCCCTCAGTTTACCTGTAGAACAGATGTACATAAGCAATTGCAAGCAACATGGACTTTCCTTAACCCCCAGCATTAGTAGGCTCTAACCAGATCTGGAATTGTATGTGAAGTTCAATCTTCAAGTCCATTTATCTTTGGGCTGAGTGTGCTGTCTGCAATTCAGCAACCTGGAGTCACTGTGCTGGCGGCTTTTGGATACATGGGTAATGGTCCTCCCGGAGTAGGACTGAGCTATTTTTGTACAACACAGGCTGCCAAACAGCTTTTGATTTCCCATGCAGTAGTGAAGGGCTCCTAATATCCTTGCTATTATTAGAGGCAACCTACAAAATTACAAAGGTGGTGGATGAGCTGAATGCAGAATCCTGCACTAGGGGACATTCAGTGAAACTAGTAGGGGATCAGTTTGAAACAGATAAAAGAAAGTACTTCTTGAGCAGCCAGTAGTGAGCTTCAGGAACTTGCTGCCACACGGTGCTGTAGAAGCCAACAGTGTCAGCAGGTTCAGAAGGGATAAGATGCATACAGGGACAACAGGCTCATTAAAAAGACAAGGCAGGGACATGCCCTCTGTGGTATCCATCACATCAGTTACACAGCTGTGGATGCTGGGGGAGCACAAGGGGAAGGGGCTGCAGAAATCAGCCAGGCTTGCACACACTCACCAAGCAGCATTTCTCTCTCACAACCATGCGATAAACTACTGGCTTGAGTAAGTTTCATGTTCTTAATCCAGAAATGTGTTTTACCCCCAACCCACTGCATGAATATTCAGTTACTACAGCATCCGAGATTCCCATGAGCTGACTAATCAGCTCAAACACAATCAAACAAGAACTAGGATTCTTCGTTCCTGGCTCTGATCTTAGTCCACCGGCGCCTCACTGTATAGGTGGTCCCATTACACATCTCATTGCTAGTCCCCCAAGTTGACACTCCTCCCTGTGTACTGTGCTAACACATAGGCCATTTATAGCCATTCATATCACAGTGCAAAATCCTAAGGGAACCAAACGAACAAATCTTGCATGGGGTACAGAAACAGATGGAGATAGTGAAATTTAAATGCTAATGAAATAATATACAACTGGGTAAGACAAAAACATCCCATCTACACCTCTAAAAACTAAGGGTAAATCATGCACAGTGCAGCAATTATGGCAATTTCGAGCTCTTTTAATTTGGAGGCTGAAAATCCAAACTTCCTCTTCCCCGTGTGTTTCTTCTTACCCAGCAACTTATGAAGCAAGCCACCATGCCAACTTTTAAGTATAAAATAAAATGAAACCAATCATTGTTTTTAAGCAATTGCTCTCAAGGCCACCCAATAATAGTGTTTCTAAAGCAGTCCTACCTTTGTTTTCCAACTTGAGCTCCTCTGCTAGCAAGCTGTCTTGTCTGTTGCCAAGCACAAATGCCAGAAATGAGAGGATCAGGGCATCCAAGATTCCAATAATTGCCAGGATATATGCCCAGCGGACTGAACAAGCCCCCAGCGTGTACTTGTCTGTCTTTTCACCACACATCCGTTTTACCTCATCTGAATCCCATCCATCAGGAAAAATCATACAACCCAGGACGAGACAGGCAGCTTGGAGAAAAAAGAAAAGGAGAACAATGGGATAATGAGACCAAACCTTCATTTTGATGAGAACCTACATAGCTATCATTAAAGCAACACACTTTTTCATCCTGCACTTCAAAGCTAAGTTACTTAAAAACAAGTCACAGAGTCATATGCTATGATTAAGCATTTAATACAAAAAACCTAAGATACGACATCAATTGCGCTTAAAAAAATAAAGTTACATCCTGAATCATGGACAGTTTTTGTTCCAGAATGATCTCATTTTCCTGATGATGCTGATTTATTAATTGTAATATGAAAGGCTTGCACAAAAGTAAAGGGAAAAATTATTAATAACCTGTATTTTCAAAGAAAACACTGGATTACTGTCAAATGGTCAGGCAAACTAACCAGAGAAAAATAGAGGAAAACCCCACCTATTATTTCTGGTAATCTAAGTACTTGTAACATGCACAGGTAATTGCAAGGAGATTTTTTTTTGTCACTTGGCAGTACCCCTGTAACTGAAATACGTTGTATGAGTAAGGTTCATACTCCTCAAAAACACAGGTAATGACATTGTTCTGCAAGGAAAAATAAGCTGTCAACATTGCTGTCAACTTCTGATCCGGTTTACCTGAGGAATCACCACATGACATCTCAAACATGAAAAAGTGCTAATCTTTTTAACACCGAGAGAAACAAAAAGCCTCTGCCCACATGGAAAGCCAGCCGACACTGACCACCCGCTGCTGTGGGTAGGAGCAGCCGTATCATGATGAGAACTAAGGGTAGGTGTTCAGGTGCTCATCCTTCAGCCTGTGTGACTGCTAAAAGGCTGACAGAATTTTTAAGTAGCAGAAATCTGCTTTGACCCAGCACCTTGGGTGGGACATGTGTGCTCTTGGGCAAGGAGACCTCAAGGTCACAGCCATTGCCCCAGCATCTTAGAAGCCTGGGGTCAGCCATGGTCTGATGCATGACCTGCAGTTCAGGCACATGTCCTGTGGTCAATGGTGAGCAGCCTCCATGGAGGTTGTTTGCCCCTTTTCCTACTGGAGTGTATGCCTTGTGGTGGAGGGTAGCATGACAGGGATGCAGCACCGGGGCTTCTGCTCCTGGGAGGATACAGTGTGTCCTGAGGTGGTGACACATCATTACAGTAACGCAAAAAGGCAAACCCATACAGTGAATCTTCACTAACGTGGTCCCTCCCCGCTGAATTACTAGCTGAGAAAATCCGTGGTCTGAGAAAACTTGCCAATTTACCACTCTCATAGGACTGGACCCAATGTACCTCTGCACTGCACCTGGCTTCCCAATCTGTGCAGGGGCTGTCACTGGGCACAGCTGAAGGCACGACTTGTATCCTGCCAGTTCCTTTTGGATGATGTCTTTCCCATGCAGGTTGGCCCTGCTGTGAGTGGAGTGAGGGACCTGATGGTCTCCAGAGGTCCTATCCAACCTGAACTGGTCTTTGGTGGGGAGGCATCAAGTTGGTAACAGGGGACAGAGCAGTTGGGTACTTACGGCGCATTTCCTACCAGAGCACTTGGAATAGTGCACAGATATGACTAACTAGCCCTTCTTTCTTAGTATGGCTCATGACATACAGTGTATCCTAAGCCATCTTTTGTAAGTCTTAATATTGTATTAGTGCACTGTGCTCAAAATGGCAGGTAAATGTGCTAATTTAAAAGAATATATTCTGTGGTTTTCGTCCTTTCAAACAGTTGTTGAGCCAAACCTCTGTTTGGAAACCACAGTTTATACACCAAGTAGTTTGTGCAACCAACAGCTGCCACCACTGTGGGAAATGCAATAAGTTCTTGTCTTTTCTGGACAAGCATAAGCACTGTCATTTTCATATACCTTTAATACAAAAAAAAAAAAAATCCAACCCACACCTGCACTGAATGAATATAATGAAATACTGGGAGAGAGACATGAAAACAGAGCGCAGAAATGGCCGTTTCTTTTTGACAGCTACACAATTGCTGTAGACAAAGCCTTGAAAGCATGTCTGCACAAAGCATCTGACGTACAATAAAAGCTGCACCTAAGGCGTTTGACAAATTCTTCCTGAGCAGTTGATTTGTGTGAAAATATAACAGCTTATAATACTTTCAAGGACAATTAGGCTTAGAAACAAGGACAATTAGATAAGGACTGATTTACTTAGAACGTGCAGGTTGGACAAATTGTAAGTTGCCTATTGCCTGCCTTAACTCATTTACACAATTCATAAGATCTTCCAAACATCTTAGAGATAAACTGTACAGTAATTTGCTTTCTTGAGCTGGTTACACACACTTCCAAAAAGATTATTTCTCACAGCCAACACATAAGCATTGCCCTCACATTTACAAGGGACTCAATTGAAATGATGCAGCAAATCTGCATACTGCTGGTATTTGTAAAAATGTCCACATTTACCCAGATAACTGTTGACTCAAGTTTGATTTACTATATAACAGCAACCACCAAAGCCAGTTTACATTTATTAATCATCCTCAAAATGAAAGGAAGCTTAATGCTCAGTTAATGATCAATAGATGTGGGATTTTTCTGCCAGTTGTGCAAGAATAATCAGCAAATACTGACATCTCCATGGCTTTTTTATTGCATATCACACTAGACATATGTTCTATGTATTTCCTAAAAATAATTTAACTTTGTTCTTTTCCACCTAGGTAATTAAAAGTACGAGCCTTTATCTCAGGAACTCAGTGCACAGCTTCCTGACTGTGTTCCTCAGGTTTCCAATTAACTCATCTTTCCTGAATTCTGTTTCTGCACGCTTTGATATACTTGCTTAACTTTCTGGAGTAATTCTGTTGGTTGCAGTTGGACTTCTCTCGGTAATAAGACACACAGGTAAATGGTGGATGGACTGTATCCCTTCGCATAAAGTTTAGATGCTTTCTACTAGATGACTACTAGGTGAACAGATGCAGGAATCGTACCTTACTTGTAGAGGTTAACATAAGTAAGATTAGTCAACCTTGAGTATTCACTTGCCGGGCGAATTATTTCGCACTGAATGCCTTTAAGAATACAGACTTGCTCAATAATATGAAACAAGTAATGATTCATTTATCAGCTATGAGACTGAAAAGACAGGTAGAAAATCCACCTACAGATCTACTTTGTATTGCTATAAATTTTTACATTTTAATCCTTCTAAAGAGGATTAGAAGATTTCTCTCCAGAAGGAAATTACTTTCAGCTTTATACGAATTTGAAAAATGGAAACCATTTTACGCAATTTCAGTGAAACTGCTAAGAGATGATTTTATAACGCAGGCATGGGTCCCACATGCTTGTCTAAACTTCCACTGTCTCTAATGTGAACTGAAATGGAAATGTAACAAAGGCTACTACTGTTTTGCTACTATCCAGTTCTAATAAATTCAGAAACTTTTGTATTTGGAAAGCTTGTCTATTGAGTGAAAAGAATTAAGTCATCAGTTCCTACAGATATTTTGGTTCAAGTGAAGAAAAAGTTAAATCTATACTGGTTAAAGACAGTCTTCTGTGTGTGAGCTGGATACACTAGATTAGCATCATCTTCCTGAGCCTGCAGACAGCCCAACCTAGGACCTCTGTAGCTAATCAAGACCTTTCACGAGAAGCAGCAGGGGGAAATTGATAGAAGACTGATTAGTGTCACTGACACCATTCTCTATTTGCCTTTATTTGGGCAACCATAAAACTTAAAAGAATCATATTCACATCATTTTCCCTTTGGTTGAGAAAACTCCTGGCAGAAATAGTGCCTTTGTAGTGATGGCCAAGCAATTAGTGGCTTCCTCCAGTCCTTCCTTTCCTTCTATGACTGGGTGTCCTACTTAGTGGATGAGGGAAAGATGTTGTCTACCTAGTATTCAGCAAAGCCTTTGGCACTGTTTCCCACAGCATTCTCCTGGAGAAACTGACTGCTCATGTCTTGGATGGGTGTACTTTTTGCTGGGTAAAAGCTGGCTGGATGGCCAGGCCCAAAGAGTGGTGGTGAATGGAGTTAAATCCAGCTGGTGGCTGGTCACAAGTGGGGTTCCCAGGTCTCGGTCTTTGGGCCAATTCTGATTAATCTCTTTATCAATGATCTGGACAAGGGGATCGAGTGCACCTTCAGTTAGTTTGCAGATGACACCAAGTGTTGATCTGCTTGAGGGCAGGAAGGCTCTGCAGTGGGATCTGGACAGTCTGGATTGATGGGCCAAAGCCAATTGTATGAGATTCAACAAGGCTCAGTACTGGGTCCTGCACTTGGGTCACAACAATCCCATTCAGTGCTACAGGCTTGGGGAAGCGTGGCTGGAAAGCTGCCTGGTGGAAAAGGACCTGGGAGTGCTGACTGATGGCTGCTGAACATGAGCAGCTTGTGCCCAGGCAGCCAAGAAAGCCAAGAGCATCCTGGCTTGTGTCAGAAATAACATACACAGCAGGGCCAGGGCAGTGATCATCCCCCTGTACTCGGCACTGGTGAGGCTGCACCTCGAATACTGTGTTCAGTTCTGGGCTCCTCCCTGCAAGAGAGATATTGAGGTTCTGGAGCATGTCCAGAAAAGGGCAGCAAAGCTGGTGAAGAGTCTGGAGCACAAGTCTCATGATGGAACTGGATTTTTTAGCCTGGAGAAGAGGAGGTTCAAGGCAATCTCTCTACAACTTACCACTCTCTGCAACTACCTGACAGGAGGTTGTAGTGAGGTGAGTTGATCTCCCTAGTAACAAGTGATAGAAGAAGAGGAAATGGCTTCAAGTTGTGCCAGAGGAGGTTTAGATTTGACATTAGGAAAATTTCTTCATCAAAAGTGTTGTCAAGCACTGGAAGGGGCTGCCCAGGGAAGTGGTTGAGTCACTATCCCTGGAGGTATTTAAAAGAGGTGTAGATGCGGCACACAAGGACGTGGTTTAGTGGTAGACCTGGCAATGCTGGGTTAATGGTGGAACTCAGTAGTCTTAAAGGTCTTTTCCACCCTAAATGATTCCATGATTCTTACAAGATGTGAGATTACAAATTG